GGTTTTGAGTTACTAGCAGCACCAAGAAGAAGTGTAAGAATTGTTTTCAAACACTCCGCCCATCTACCATTGGTCAGCCAAACTGATAGCCCCGCCCTAAACTCACATCATTGGTTGAGCTGCTGTTGCTGTGTCAGGCCAGTCTGATGTTTAAACAAACAGAGACATGTTTTGATAGCATCAAAGAGACACACTGTTTACACATTTTAAAGGTAATCAACCTATAAATGTAGTTGTCTCTGCTAACTTGTGTTTTTTTTTAGGTTTTGAGTTACTAGCAGCACCAAGAAGAAGTGTAAGAATTGTTTTCAAACACTCCGCCCGTCTACCATTGGTCAATCAAACTGATAGCCCGCCTTAAACTCACATCATTGGCTGAGCCACTGTTGCTGTGTCAGGCCAGTCGGATGTTTAAACAAACAGAGACACACTGTTTAGACATTTTAAGGTAATTTAATCAACCTGCAAATGATGTAGTTGTCTCTGCACATTAAGCTAGAATTAGTAATTTAACAAAAGAATTACACACTTCAGCTTTAAGTTAACTTTAATGAGCTTTTTTTGTGGATTATTCTAGATATGTTTGTTTCTAACAAACAAAATACTGAATTAAACTTCAGTAAGTCTTTTGCAGGTGATGAGGAGATAATTTTGGAAGATTAGTTCCAGAAACAACCGACAGAGGGCTCTACTGAGTCCTGTCCATGAACTCTGTGAAGGGAAAAACACGGTCACTACAGGTTCACGTGGCAATCAGGCAGACTTCAGGCAGAGGTCAAAGCATTTTCAATGAAAATTGTTTTTGAGAAAAGAGCACCACTGTGGTATCCTCAAACATCTGCATTTGGTTTTGAGGGTATTTCAGGCTTGGAACAAACCTACTTAATCTACCATTTGATTTTTTTTGTTAATGAAATATTCTATAATGTTCAGTATGCTAAAATATGAGTATACTGACTAGTATGTGTTTCTTCAGTGGTATGATTCTTGCTTTTGGCATGGAACTTGTCCATGAGTGCAATTTTTAACCAAGAAAATTGCTGCTGCATATAAAGTACAGAGATGTGGGCATTTGGTTGCATATCATTATGTGATTTCGCTTGAACAGAGATATGTGTGTGTCAGAGAAAGGCGCATGGCACTCAGGGATGCTCTAAAACAGTGTCACTCCAGGTGAAAGAAGCAAAGCTTAATGTGGTGGACATTAAAGGTGTTTTTATGCGAGTACACTTGCGAAACAAAAACTGGACTGGAGCCCAGAAATGGAATGGAGTGAGAAACTGCCAATATTTTTCTCAATCAAAGCCCTTTGTGCAACATTGTTATTAGTGGTCATGATAAAACAACCATGTCTTTTACTTTTCTAAGCTGATTTACAATTTTTGCTTTATACATTAGGTGATAGTATCTGGCAACCCCACAACATCGTTGCATTGTGCTACCTGGTTTTGCATAGACAAGCAACTCTCCTGCTACAAGCTCCTCTTTTTTCTTTTTTTTTTCTCGAGACTCTCACCTCTGCACTCTGCTGGAATGTAGATTGTGGAAAACTGACTGTTCTTCCCACTGGCCCTGAGCAATAAGAGAGTGTTTACACAGTCCCACCCCTCCTCTCATCACCAACTGCAAATTTATATCTTTTCGCTGGCTGTGTTTCTAATGCACCGGAAGCAAAAAGCTTCCTACAGAGAACCGAATAATTCTCACATTATCTTTTCATTTCTGCACGTCAATACAAATTAATGCCAGGTAGAGTTTCAGAAAGTTCAACCGATTGAGTTTAATTAAATCAGAGATTTTAATGCATAAACACATTAATTATCAAAGTGCGCAGAAAGATTATGAGGTTACTTTCGTTCAGGTCCGCTGTATCAATCAAATTCTGAAATATGCTAAAGGGGGGTAATATCTCTAAATGATTGGAATTACAGAAATGATAGTAATGATATTCATTGTGAAAATTACTTCTCAGTACATTTGTAACATTCCTCCTGTGCCAGTTTCTTGAAAGATTATGAGCGTGTGGTTAAACATCTGATGAATCACAGTGTTTATGAAATGCGCACTTTCTTCTGGGTTCACCTCCGGCTCAGACTTGAGTAATTGGTAAATCGTAAACTAATTCCCATAAATCAAAACATTAACCTGGCTTTTTTGGCATTCAGCCTAAATTTCTAAGAGATTCTGCAGCCTTGACTTTCATCTAAACCTTCAGTGCACATGCTGAAAGAGTCTCTCCACTCATCAATTCTGACTCATTGACTCACAGAAACATATTGTTCTTCATAATATCAACCTTGACTTTCATTTTCCATTTCATTAATATTATAATTGTGATATCTACGTGCATACACTCTTACATATTTAAATGACCTCTGATGCCAATAATAGTGAAGTATTATTAGTACTGTATATATGGCATTTTTATTATGGATATACAGAAGAAACTGCATTTTGAATGTCATTTCACTGAATGTCACCTCCACACTAAAAAATCATCATTATGCTGTTAACTAGCCCTCATGTGTTCGGTCATTTTAACTTTTTTTTTTTAAGTGGATTTTTTGAAAATGCTTGTTAAAGGGACAGTTCACCCAAAAATGAAATGTCATCATTTACTCACCCTTCCAAACCTGTATGAATTTCTTTCTCCTGTCAAAAATAAAAGAAGATATTTTAAATGTTGGTAATTAAACTAAGCTGCAGGTCCCCATTGACTTCCATAGAAAAAAGATACTATAGAACTATATACATATACAGGTGCATCTCAATAAATTAGAATGTCGTGGAAAAGTTGGTGGGGTTTTGTTAAATGTGAGCTAAAATCATCACAATTAAAAGAACCAAACATGCAGGTTTGTAAAAGGGTGATTAATAATTAATAGCTTAATTATGCTATATTATTACCAAATATTGGATTCAATATTTTTATTAACATCTTTTTGGAAATTATCATAATTTTTGGAATTTATAGTTTTTTTTTTGGAACAGATTGTCATTTTTGGAACTAATCATATGCCTCATTGATCTGAGCTTATGCACCTTAGTTTTTAAGTGAATATTGCCAAAATAGTCGTGGCCTAATGGTTAGAGAGTCAGACTCGTAACCCAAAGGTTGCGGGTTCGAGTCTCGTACCGGCAGGGATTGTAGGTGGGGGGAGTGAATGTACAGCGCTCTCTTCCACCTTCAATACCACGACTGAGGTGCCCTTGAGCAAGGCACCGAACCCCCAACTGCTCCCCGGGCGCCGCAGCATAAATGGCTGCCCACTGCTACGGGTGTTCACGGTGTGTGTGTGTGTTCACTGCTGTGTGTGTGCACTTTGGATGGGTTAAATGCAGAGCACAAATTCAGAGTATGGGTCACCATACTTGGCCACATGTCACGTCACTTTTTAAGACGCATGATTAAATTTAAATGAAAACAAGATAAAACTGCTGTGATGTTAGTCACGCTTACTGATAGTCTAATAATGTTTTAACTCCACATTAAACTTTACTTATAATCCTCTGCATTTGATCATACCGGACTGTTTCAAAATCATGATGCAACCGAAGTTAAAAGAGGACTGCTCTGAGGGTCCATGCTTGAAAAGCATTATTAAATATGTGCAGATTTGAGATAAAATGCATAGACAGCAGCCACATTAAGCCTTGAATGTTACGTTCATTTCTAAATATGCATCCTTCCTCTTAACACTTATTTCGCAACAATAAGTATAAAAACACCAACTGCAGCATATAAGATTAAATACAGGATATGAAGCAAGTTGACTTGAGTAAGTTAAAGTCAGTTATTTGTAAAAGACCAAAGGTAACCTGAAGGCTATGAGATAGAAAGTCTTTATTTGCTTTTTTTCTTGCTATTTCTTAATTTTCTTCTCTTTTTTTCACGATACACATTCATTTCTGTGCTTTTCAGAAACCTCTGATCTGATCCATGTGATCTAAGCATGTTATTTTGGAGAACTGTCAGAATAACATCAGTTACCCTGGCAAAGAAATCTCTTTTTTTAATTGGTCGATGAAATTACATTAAAATGGTTGTAAAAATGCCACTTTTGTTGAATAAAAACGAGCCTCCTGTGGAAAGGGAATATGCCTATATATATATGAAACATCTGAACTGATAAATAACAGATTGGAGATTAAAATAATAGCAGATTTGTTTCATTTTAAATGAACAATAAAAACTGAGATGAAAAATGTACTTAAGCCAGAATTTAAATTTTACTATGGTAAAATAAATGTTCAGCGATATCTTCAAAAGATTTTTGAATTTTGGCGGACTTTTTTTTCTATATAATGTTGATATGGTAACTAAAAAAATACTGTAAATTTTGTTATGCTAGCATGTGTGGAAATATTCAAACCACGTGTGTTACAACCAGTGTTGGGGAAAGTTATTTTTAAAAGTAATGCATTACAGTATTGTGTTACTCCATAAAAAAGTAACTAATTACGTTACTTAGTTACTTTTTATGGAAAGTAATGCGTTACGTTACTTTTGCGTTACTTTTTAAATCAAAATTGAAATCGCATCATATGACCCCTTTAATGTTGCTTTTATGAAAACTATATTTAAAATAGCTATTAAATGGAGCACAGTATAGGTCATACTGCATGACACTGTTTGGATATTCATGTACACTATTCATAAAATTTTTTTTCTTTTATATGTAGTCTTATCTATAATGTAAAACTATTTATATTCGATTGCTTTTATATGTTACATTTACCGTGTAGGACAGAGAGTAGAGGATATGTCCTTATCAAAAAAAGAAGAGGATTGAACTTTGTCAAGGGCAAAAATGATCTGATTCGACTCTCCACCTCCCCTAAAATCCTCCATCCCTAATCCGAATACTTGCGCGGTCCCCTTAAAGCACCACGCTGCCATTTAAGAAAAGGGAGTGAAAAGTGAGCTCAGAAAGCCACATCCTCTTGTTTTCATATGGGCAGGGCAAAACAACATGACCCTGAGTCTCAAATGACAGCGCGACACAAACCGCTGCTCATTGCTCCCCAGTGAAAGCGGCATTTTAATCGAGGGAGTCGGTGCTCGATTGCTCTGGTCGGACGCGAAATATGGCAGAATCGGAGTATAGCGTTTCAGTTCCTCGCTTGAGCTCCCTTCTACAAATGGATCCTTACCTCAAAACCTTTGAAAAGGACTTCCAGAGGAGGTAAAACGTGCTTTTAAGCGTTATTTGCATCCTGTCGCTGGGTAATGGTCCTGTGCCCGTCCCAAACGCACACGCGTGCCTGTCTGTCAGCCCTTCACACCAGGCACTTAGGAGTTGTTATATTAATTCAGTGTAGTGTCCATTAAAAGACAGCTGCTGGATGCTCTCCGCCTGTGTATAAGAGCTGCGTGCCCTACTGAATATGTAAATACGGAAATCTAATGGTTTCTATGGAAGCTTGATGGCGATGACAGTTAACTTCTCTGCAACGAACACGTTCAGCTGCAGCACAATGAGAAAACGCTGCTTTAAGACAGTAGAGGACAACATTTTTTTGTCTATTTTGTGCATAACAACAACAACAACAACAACAACAATGCTACTACTACTAATAATAAACAAATATACTACCAACAAAAACAAAATAATAATAAGATTATTATTATTATTGCAGATTTAGCATTTGCATGGTAAAACACCTTCCATGTTTTCAAACGTTATAGACCTGAAAGTCAATATTTAAAACCCCCCTTTTGACCACCCTCCCACACCCCCTTATGCTTGTGCTCCCTTAACAGGTGCTTGTTTTAATATATTTTAATTATAGAAACCAGGGCAGCTTATGTCTTAAAAATCATATTTTTGCTTATATATTAAAATATATATTTTTTGGAATAAATATCACAATGTTTCGTCATTAACTTGTTGCTATCTTCGAAGGAATGTAAACAATGTTGTAATTGGGTCAAAGACATTTAAATGTCCACATCAAAAGATTTGACAAAAGTGATTTTATACATAGATCTATTTTGTGCATAACAACAACAACAACAACAATGCTACTACTACTAATAAAAAACAAATATACTACCAACAAAAACAAAATAATAATAAGATTATTATTATTATTGCAGATTTAGCATTTGCATGGTAAAACACCTTCCATGTTTTCAAACGTTATAGACCTGAAAGTCAATATTTAAAACCCCCCTTTTGACCACCCTCCCACACCCCCTTATGCTTGTGCTCCCTTAACAGGTGCTTGTTTTAATATATTTTAATTATAGAAACCAGGGCAGCTTATGTCTTAAAAATCATATTTTTGCTTATATATTAAAATATATATTTTTTGGAATAAATATCACAATGTTTCGTCATTAACTTGTTGCTATCTTCGAAGGAATGTAAACAATGTTGTAATTGGGTCAAAGACATTTAAATGTCCACATCAAAAGATTTGACAAAAGTGATTTTATACATAGAAAGCATATTAAATGCAAGTAAAGTGTCTGCTTTTAAGGTTTCAAATAGGTTTTGGGAGAATAAAATGTCAAAATGTGGGTGAAATAATGTTACATTGTCATTCAACGTAATGCTTATATTTATGTAAAATTTAAACATATTTATTCTGACGTGTACCTATTAAAATATACAGTATAAAAGAATGAGGGAGCATACAAAATTGTATTGCATTTTAAATGAGTAAAAAATTCTTGCTGACAAATGGCCAAAATGAGATGGTGGCAAAGTTTAAAAATATAAAATTACAAGTAGAATTTGGAGTAAAACTAATTAGTCTTTTAATATGTCATAAACTGACTGACAAGACACTGAATTACATTTTGGTGTCTGTTTTCTGTAAATCATGGTAAAAATGTTTATTTGCGCAAAAGAAAAAAAAACACTATTTAATTAAACAGGACACTTGAGATATTGCGTTTATACAACAGTTCGACGGCACGAGTGTAAATACATATGAAAAACGACAACGGAGTGTCTTTAAAAACCCTCTTGTGCGGAACTACTTCCTTCCGCCACATATTCAAATCTCAGTTTGACAGTTTAACAGCTGAGCTGAAGCCTCCGTTACTAATTCGCAAACGTCACTTTAGAACTAGTAACTAAGGAACGTTGAGTTGCTTCATTAAAAACTTATCGTATTACTTAATTAAAAGCTCACTGTATTATGTAGAGTAGAGTATTGTGAGAGAGAGATGGAGTGAGCGAGTGTGGTTACCTGCATCTGATACAGCATTCATTCTTAAGCTCAATCTCATCTTCACAATAAAACATTAGTTTCAATGTCCGCTGAGGAAAGCATTATCTTTGTCGTACTGTCTTTCATCTGTTAAAGGTGATTTCCGATGACAGCGCTGCTCAGTGCATTTGTTAACTGCGTCTTAAAAGCTGTTATTAAAAGTAAAAGTAACTTCCGTTTTAGTCTCTTTCAATATAAAAGCCTTAAATGCTGACTCGTAAAACAGTCACTTGTCGCCATCTAATGGCGGTACAATGTCACAAAAATCACCTTCACGAACACACACACTGTTTCCCAATACTAAATACTACTATGTATATAAAATATTATTTAATGAATAATAAACAACAACAACAGCCATCATAAAAGCCATACTCTAATATACAGCATTAAAGTTACATAAAATATAACGTAACCGAAACTATTTGCTCTGGAACAAATAATAGATTAATGACACCAAAGACTGCCCGTCAGATTTACCCAAAACAAATTATATCTCATGTTTAACCACTGTTGAGA